GTTTTGCCAGCATGTATGTCTGTGTACCCTATGCATGCCTGGTACCCAACCAGGTGGGGAGCCTCCATTTGGATGCTGGGAATTGAACCTGGGTCGTTTCCAAGAACAAGTAAGTGCTCTTAGCTACTGAGCCAAATTTCCAGCCCCAGAATCCCCTTCTTAATGGTTCTAGCTCAGAACCGACCACACAAACTTTTGTAAGATGTGGGAAGCTGGAGGGAAAGAGCAGCCAGTATGTTGTGAAGCACAGAGCTGACTGCTTTAACACCAGGCTGCTGGCTCACCTTGCTGAGGAAGGACAGCATCTAGGCCTGAAGAAACCTATTGAATCCACCCCTGCAGCTCTTGCATCCTAGGTCAATGGCACTCATCTCTGGAGCGCTCTGGTTTTACCTGCTGGCCATGTCTGTCACCAAGCTTCGAAACAATGAAAGGAAGTCTAGGGTTGTAGTTTATCATTAGGAATTCCAGTTATCCTCGCAGGTCTCAATGTGCTCTCACATGTTTTAGTTTTATCCTTGCTCTCCTCTACTTCGCATCTAACTCCGCCCCCCAACTGCTAATAGTATTAGTCTTTAGGCCCAGCAGCAGATGTGGAGGTGACTGACTTGCCTGGTTTTCTCTACTAGCTTCCAAAATACACAAAATATAATCCTGAGCTGGACCTAGTTTGTGCTGAGGTAGGAAGATCTCAAAATTGAGGCTAGCTTGAACTACATAATGAGCTCAAGACCAGGAATGAACTATACATTAATATCCCATCATGAAAAACCAAGGGCTTGGAGGGTAGCTTAGTGGTTAGAGTACTTGCCTCGTATGTACGGATCCCAGTATTTGATTCCCAGCAACACACATACATTCCTTATAATAAATCCTTAAGTTTCTGTGAGTCAAAATCCTCTCTGCTTGAGTCTTATAGTAGAGATTTATAGAGTTATTACAAACCAGAAGACTTCATTTAAAAAAGGTGATACTTAAGCTACTTCAAAAGTTAAAAGTAGGGCTGGAGAGATGGCTCAGCAGTTAAGAGTACTGGTTTCATTCCCAGCACCCACATGGCAGCTCACGACTGTCCCCAGTTCCAGGGAACCTGACGCCCTCACACAGACATTCATTCAGGCAAAATATCAATGCACATGAAATAAAAAAGTAAAAAGAAATTAAAGGGGTATGGTGGTGCACACCTTTAATCCCAGCACTCAGGAGTTAGAGGCAGGTGGTTCTCTGTGAGTTTGAGGCCAGCCTGGTCTACAGAGTTCCAGAATGCCCAAGGGCTACACAGAGGAACTCTGTCTCAAGAAAACAAAATAAAAGAAGTAGGGCCATCAACATCGCTTAACAGGTAAAATGCTTGCTGTAAAGTTGGACAGTGAGTTCAGTCACTGGAACATATGAAAATAGAGACGTCCACACATGTGCCATGTCACACCTATACCCTCCACAATAATAAAATAATAATAACCAAACACTAATTTTTAAAGGGATAGGTAGGAAGAGTTGTTTATGTGGGGTTAGGGCTAGGCTTCTAGTACACAGGCTTAAGCCAAACAATTGAAAGGGCAATGGGGAGTTCTCTCTTTCTAGAAGATTGTCTTCCCGTGAGTTCAGCATTCATAGAATGTGCGTCTGTCCTCGGCTGTCTGACCAGATTGTAGGCCAGACTGTTTCTTCAGTGCAGCTTTTTTACACGCTGCTAGAACGCACCTTTCCTACGACCCTAAGACGTTCTCCTGTTCCCATTCCTCTCCAGAGGCAAAGACTAGCCTTTCTTCTCTTTTATGGGTCTCCACGGCCACCCAAGGTCTGTCATTTTGTCCTTCATGAAGGCATCTTTCTTTTCTCATGCTCTATTTGTGCTGGTAGTGGTAAGAAGGAATACCCTGGGGCTTCCTGTCTTAGGAAGGGCAATATCCTTTCTAGTGTTAGATTTCTGAGCTTACCCAGAGCTCCAACATTCATTATATAGGGCTCTTTGAGAGGCTCTTCAAAGGTACCCTAAATTTATTACTTTCTAATCGTCCTTGTAGGAAGGACAACCCATCAGTTACATGAACTCTAAGCCAGTGATTCAAACACTTGTTCAGTAGTTCTGCAGTGACAAGGTGTTTCATTGCAGCTTCCAGAATGGGGAATGTTCTCAGCATGGATAAGGAGTCCAGGAAAATAGAACATGGTGTTTCGTAAAAGCCTATGTACTACTACTTTACATATGAATTTTTTAACTCAAAAAAGATCTCATTATACATATTCTGTACCATACTTTTTTCAATTAATATATCCAAAAATATTTTCTTACAGCAAGAACATTTGGTTCTACCCCATTTTTAATGGTGTGTGTGTGTGTGCTACAGAGACAGACAAATATACTGAAATTACTGAAATGTAACTAACCATTCCCACACTAATGGATATTTTCTCTGCTTTAAAAAAGTGATATGCCAGGCAGTGGTGGTGCACGCCTTGAATCCCAGCTCTCGGGAAGCAGAGGCAGAAGGATCTCTGTGAGTTCAAGGCTAGCCTGGTCTACAAAGCCAGTTCCAAGACAGCCAGAGCTGTTACACAGAGAAACCCTGTCCTGAACCTCCCCCCTCCCACAAAAAAAGAGAGAAGCAAAAAAAGGCGAGGGGAGGAAAAGGTGTGGTTTCTCGGTGAGAAGTTACAGCGTTGGACAGCAGTCGGGAGAGGTGTTTGGGCCTGACTTTTATGCCTGTGACAGAGGGCCTTCTTGTTGTTTACTCTTTTGTTTGAGACAAGGTTTTGCTCTGTAGCCCAGGCTGGCCTCAGACTTGCAGTGACCCTCCTGCTGCAGCCCCCCTAGAGCTGGGGTTACAGGTGGGCGCCACCATGCTTGGCAGCCCATCTTGATTGGACACCAACCTGAGAGATAGCGCGTAGCCTTCTTTCGGTTCCACCGTCCTACTTCAGGACCTGTGCCCAGGGTGTTACCCCCTCCTGAACCACATTCTCCCCTCCTTCTCTTTATGGACTTACCGTTTGTCTTCTGCTTCTTTGCCCAAACACCCCTTCTTTCAGTAGGCCTACTGCAATTCCTCAGAGGAGGTCAGATTGTTGCCTATCACCTGTTTTCCTTTGTGACCTTATTAGCTTTGTGTGCGTGCGTGCGTGCGTGCGTGCGTGCGTGCGTGCGTGCGTGCGTGCGTGCGTGCGTGCGTGCGTGCGTGTGTGTGTGTGTGTATGTGTATGCGCGCACATGACACATGTGTAAAGGTCAGACAATTTTCTTGGTGTGGATTCTTTACACGGTTGTCAGGCTTATGCAGCACCACTTCACCCTTGAGTCCCCCTTGAAGCATCTCAGCGGCTCCCTTCCAGATGTTACTCCACAGAAACCTACTGAGATTTTGGATTGTGCCAGACACTCTCTAAAGCTCTCTAGAATTAAATTGCAGTTAGGCACACACTTTAAGAACTTTGGAGAAGCTGGGCAGTGGTGGGGCACGCCTTTAGTCCCAGCACTTGGGAGGCAGAGGCAGGTGGATCTCTGTGAGTTCAGCCTGGTCTACAGAGCGAGATCCAGGATAGCTAGGACTGTTACACAGAGACACCGTCTCCAGAAAAAAAGAACTTTAGAGACAGAGGCAGGTGGATCTCTGTGAATTGGAGGCCAGCCAGGGCTACATTAGTGAGACCCCCATCTCAAGAAGTAAAGGAAAGGAGAAAGAGAAGGAAGAAAACTAAATAGTAATTATGTGGTTCTCCTAGCAACCTATTTAGGTAAAGCTGTTGTCTTCAAGTCTAGGCCCCAGATTCATGCTGTGAGCAATCAAGATAGTTCGCCTCTGCTGGAGTGAAGGAGATTTTTATTTAACCATTGGTGCTTTTTACTTTTCATTTGGACTGAATGCATATATGACTTAGTAGACATGGATATGAGACTGAAAAATGAACAAAAGTGTCTGCCTGTACCTGACTACCTAAGCGACCCCACTGAGTCATGAGAAAACACATTATTGAAGTCTCTGCTTTAAGAGCTCGGATACAGGCTGAGGGGAATCGGATTGTGAGTTTGACTGTAACACAGCCCTTTCTGTTTCAGTGAGTTAGTTGCTGGGCCCCTGCAGTCTCAGAACACATGCATGTGAGCCCTGAGTTTCACAGGGAGACCTGAAGCTTGGGGTAGAAACCCCTTAACTGGGGTAGTTACCGGGGTCCTGTAGTAGTTACACACAAAGCTTTGTCCCTAACCTGGATGCTCCTCTGTATTAGTTAGGTTTCTATTGCTGTGATAAACACCATAACCAACTTGGGGAGGAAAGGGTTTATTTCAGCTTAGACTTTATAGTTTGTCATGCAGGGAACTCAAGGCAGAAACTGAAACAGAGAGCATGGAAGAACGCTGTTCTAAGACAGGGTTTCCCTGTGTAGCCCTGACTCTCCTGGAACTGGCTCTGTAGACCAGGCTGGCCTCAAACTCACAGAATTCCACCTGCCTCTTTCTTCTCCCTCCTGAGTGCTGACATTAAAGCCATGCACTATCATGCCTGGCTGTTCAGCCTGCTTTATTTATTTATATGTACTTTTTTTAAGTTTTGTTTTGTTTGTTTGTTTTAGTTTTTCCAGACAGGGTTTCTGTGTGTAGCCCTGGCTGTCCTGGAACTCGTTCTGTAGACCAGGCTGTCCTGGAACTCATAGAGATCTGCCTGCCTCTGCCTTCCCAGTGCTAGGATTAAAGGCGTGCCCACCACTGTCCCACCAGCCTGCTTTCTTATACCACCTACCTAGGGATAACCCCACCTTCAGTGGGCTGGGCCTTCCCACATCAACCATTAATCAAGAAAATGCTCCACAGCCTTGCCTACAGGCCAGTCTTTCTGAGCCACAACAAAACTGAACAACTGAGCTCCATTCCTCGGCACGCTGTCCGCTTGTGGTTGTGAGATCACTGTTAGCTAGTCCTTGCTGTTCTCCTGCTGCGCCCCATGTGTGGATTCTCTGTTGTGTGTAGCTTCCCAGTGTTTCACATCTTTTTAACTTCATAGATCATGGCCCTGCGAGCCTGTGGCTTGATCATCTTCCGAAGACACCTTATTCCCAAGGTGGACAACAGTACAATTGAGTTCCTGCTGCTGCAGGCATCAAACGGCGTTCACCACTGGACTCCTCCCAAAGGTGCGGGGGTGGAGTGGGGGGGCGGGGGGGGGGGGTAGGGGTTAGCTTTGGGGAGAGGCAAGCTTGGCTCAGGAATCCACCCTGCCAGGCCCCTACAAGGCTTTGCTTCCCAGTAACTACAGCAGGAGAAGATGGGAGGGGCAGGAGCACTTTCCTTTCTCTATATAAGGTCTCCAGGCCAGCCCGGACCTGGAAATCGGATTCTGCAGCTGACCTAAGGCAGACAGCACCTGGTGTTTTTCTGTCATTCACCTGTGCTCTAGCCCATGCATGGCTAGACCAGAGAAAAGCCGCTGGGTTGGGAATGGGGAATGCTGAAATTGAGGAAAATGACCGGGCTATGTGCCTCCCTTTCTGAGTTTTTCATCTATCAAAGTAGAGCTTGACTTAAAACCCCAAGTTTTCTTCCCGTCCCTTTTCTGATTTAATTTAATACGTTCCTTTGCGTCTTTGTTTGTTGTTCCCTTCACTAGGGTTTTCTTTTGTGAACCACACATGCAGGGAGTATGACTTCTGGAGCTGTTAGAGGCACTCAGAAGCTGGGTTTCCTAGCCATAGGTCATCTGCATATTCTGGCGGGAATGGAAGGGTAAGAATGAGAGGCTGCTGCTCAGACCCAGAGGCTATGAAGATCACAGAGACATTGGGGTTGTAGCCTCAGCAGCCACCTCTGCCCTGGGTTCCTCACTTAGAACCCAGGATAGAGCTAGTCAGGTCTTCAAAAGGCAAAACAGTGAAAACCAGTGGCGTGGAGCCTTAGACATGGCCCCCAAATGTGTTTGTAAGCAGGTTTTCACCCACTAGCATTCTGGATGCTATCTCAAGGGTACAAAAGATTCCCTCAGATGTTCCTAAGAGAGAAGGCAGACTGCATGTGAAGAAGTGAACTGAGTGGCCGTGCTTAAGGAGCCCATACCCATTTGAGTACGTATTTTCATAACTCTGCTTCGAAGCCCACACCATGCTATTGGTTGTGCCTTATTTTTTGTGACTGCCTCATGTTGCTGGGCAGTGGGGGCACACGCTTTTAATCCTAGTACTCGAGGAGGCAGAGGCAGGCAGATCTCTAAGTTCAAGGCCAGCTTGATCTATAGAGCAAGTTCCAGGACAGCCAGGTCTACACAGAGAAACCTTGTTTTGAAAAGCCAAAAAAAAAAAAAAAAGTAAAAAATTAAATTAAATTAAATTAAAAAATTGTCATGCTTACACTTACATTAAAATATCTTTATTTAATCCAGCTCTGCTTCAGATGGGGATGGCATGATGAAGCCATCCTTGATTGAGGCCATTGGGATGGTCCCAGTGAACAATAGCAGATTAGCTCTGGCAGTCGCTGGGATGAGGCCCCAGAGTAAACAGCCCTGAGAGATTACAGAGAGTAGGGTGGGGAGGTATGGACAGCTATCTGGGATTGGAAGAAAACAAGATAGGGTAACAGAAAAGACATTTTGGCACATGTGAGGAGCACAGGGAAGAACAGGGTAAAAGAGAAGTGTCACCAACACTGTAAATAGGAGTGTTCACACTTCTCTCCTGCTCACTGGAATCACACTGCTGGGTCCTCTCACTTCCAGATGTCAGAGGACCTCTCCTAATCGTTTCCTTCTTTGGCCTGGGATGAAATGAGCCTGCTAGCATAGGTTCCTAGGAGGGGTGTTCCAAGACAGCTGGAAGAGGGGGCACACTCTGAATCAGTGTGTCCTGTGACCGCCAGTGTCCCTCCTGCTTTGCCTCCTCAACACGCTATCAGTGTGGTTTGAAGTGTTGTGCAGAAAACCTTCTCCAGAAACCGGAGGCTAGAACGGATTCCCTAAGAGCCGTTTTCCATTCAGCAGCCAATAGGCAGCTGCGCAGACCCCTGGGAAGAACTCCTAGTGTATAGCTCCACCTCCAGGCCAAGGACGGAACAACCATCAGTTCCTGCTCCCCGTGAGCTCCTGAACCAGGAGGGTACCTCAGCAACTTGCCAGAGCCAGGAGGAGATGCAGGTTACCAGACCCCTCTCAGTGCCTCTGGGCCCTTCTGGGACACGAAGAGTTTGTGGGAAACAGGGGTAAAGCTGGGGGCCACCACAGTCTGCAGAGCTTCAAGGGTTGTGCAACAGCTTCTTGGCAGCTGTCGGCTTGGATCCGGGTCTTGCCAACAAATTTTCTTAGAACTGGCTCTTGGCTTGTCCTTAGTCTTAAGTTCCCATCAGGACTTTCCCTGTGAGTCTGAAATCTGGCCTTGCTCAGTTAGGAAGATGAAAACAATTGGAAAAAGCCGTGATGGCTACTTGGAAACAGCTGCTGGTGCAGCAGTCCAGGGCTTGTGCCTGTTAACTGTGGAGTGTTGAGTCCTCACTGGATTTTGCAGCTAGCCCCTCTCTGCCAAGGGATTCTGCCTCTCCTTAGAAAAATCACTTTAAGGTCTCCAAGAGAAAAGTGGTCTCTGTGAATAATAGAGGGAGAACACTCAAAAGAATAGGAAAGCAGAGATCTGAGGAAAGCCCTCTCAGCACCAGAAGGCAGTCCGTGTTCTGGGATGGGGATGTAGCTTAGTGGTGGAGCATCTACCTCCCATGCACACGGCCCCCAGGTTAACACTTAGCACAGCAGAAACGAAGCAGCATCTAAATCTGACTGGGCACATTTGTGTCACTCTCTACAAAAACGGAGTAAGTCGAAAAACCAAAAAAAAAAAAAAAACAACGGAGTAAGAAGGGATTTCTCAGACCCTGAGAACCAGACACTGTCTGCCTTGTAGCCCTTCCTAGGCATGTTAGGACACTGACCGTCTGCAGACTTCCTTTAGCTCAGGCACTCCCAGGAAAGTCACTGAAGACCCTAACTTTATATCATCTGTCCTGGAAAATCCAGCTTCAGCTACTATTGAAGATTTCGTCTTTATTTATTTATTTATTTTCTCCTAACCAGGCCATGTGGACCCTGGAGAGACTGACTTAGAAACAGCCCTGCGAGAGACTCAGGAGGAAACAGGCATAGAAGCAAGCCAACTGACCATCATTGAGGGGTTCAGGAGGGAGCTCAATTATGTGGCCTGGAAGAAGCCTAAAACAGTCATTTACTGGCTGGCAGAGGTGAAAGACTACGACGTGGAGATCTGCCTCTCCCAGGAGCATCAAGCCTACCGCTGGCTAGGACTGGAGGAGGCCTGCCAGTTGGCTCAGTTCTCGGAGATGAAGGCAACACTCCAAGAAGGACACCAGTTTCTCTGCTCCATGCCGGCCTGAGCTGACCAGAACAAACGCTTCTGCTGCGGCCTGGAGGGTCTTCTGAGATGAACCCGTCCCCATCCAGGGAAGGCTGTGATGGTCTTGGGCTTGCTTCAGCCAAGAGCAGATAGGTTGGTGAAATTAAAATTAGCTCGGCACTCTCAGGTGAAAGCAAGGAGGCCCTGGATTCAATCCCTAGTAGAAGATAATTACTTTAAAAATAAGAGCAAGTAGGAATTTTAGCTGAGTTAAAAAGCAAAGGGGGTGAAATTTTTAAATGCCAGCCCCAGTAAGTGTACTTTATAAATAAACTTCAAACAGCTTATGTGGCCTTTTAACCTGTGTGTTTAGTTCTTGAACTCAAGCCATTGCCTGGGATAAAGAAAACTGAAGTTGCCGGGCGGTGGTGGCGCACACTTTAGTCCCAGCACTCGGGAGGCAGAGCCAGGTGGATCTCTGTGAGTTCGAGGCCAGCCTGGTCTACAGAGCAAGATCCAGGACAGCCAGGGCTACAC